TATACTATTATAGTTATCGCTGTTCTTTATTTTCCTCATTTTGTATTCATTCACCGCATCCTTGTTGCATTTATTTTCATTTTCCCAGTTCTTTTGTTTTATGTTTAACTTCTTCAACCTTATGAACAACTTGATTTATACTCATAGGGCCCTAAACTATCCTGGAAACTACTTGATTTGTGATGGTCTAGTCTTAGTAGTGTTGGCGGTAAGTGTTACGTGTAGACATGTATTTTTTAAAACATATTATGGATTTATTAATGTACCTATGTCGATGTAATGCTGCGATGTCGCTGCGGCGGGCGCCATATAGCCATGATGGTCCAGAGGCGCCGCGCCGCGAAACCTCGCCGTAACATCTATGTCCAAATCATTCAATTCGGTAGTAATAAATATTTTAAAATATATCCTTTTCATTTCTTTTTAATCCAACTTGGGTTGGCCTAGACTAGGTTGGTCCCTGGAGCTCTCAGCAGTGATACAACACAAGAAAATGATCAACATGGAAGGAGAAAACTACTAGAAACAACTTCAAAAGTAAACACGCAAAAAATGGAAGTACTATGAATTTGGAGAGAAGTCAAGCAAACTTGTTTGAGCAACAAATTGCATCAATATTATGCTTGTTTGTTCTCTCTAGTCGTTTTTGGAAGCTACATGCATTGGGCATTCCATGAATGCAGCATCTACCATGTGTTGTATCACTGGTGTAACATAGAGGTTAGGTAATTTACCCAATTTAGCAACAACAACAACAACATCCAAGCCTTAATCCTAAAAGAATTTGGGGTCGGCGAACATGAATCGATCTATGATATCGATGCCAAACAGAGAAGACGGACAAGAAAGGGAAGAAAAAAAAGTAAGATAAAATGAATAAAATAAAGATAAATAAATATAACAATAACACAAGAATATAAGAAAGATAAAAAATAATTTACCCAATTTAGCAATATAAAAATAATTCTAAACTCTTCTGATGAGGCTAATGAGCCTTATTTAGGCGTTAAACAAAACATAGTTACATAGCACATTTGTCCTATTCGTGTTTTAGAAAGGCTCTATTATACAACAAAAGAACTGCATCTAATGCGTGCTCATATGAATGTTAAATAGATCGTTTTTCCTATGCATATGGTTATAGGTCATGATTAGAACGGGTATAACTTCATTATATGCCTAACACATATGAGTTGAAGGGATATTCATGACATTATTATTTCCAGTTGCTGAAAGTTCCTTCTCACTCTTCATAAATATTGAAAATTTATGTTTATTAATTATTACACTGGTTACCACCTTGATCATAAATATTATCAATTCATCCCAAATTGTCAGATACTTTTGGGATCAACTGGTTGACGAACATAATAAGAAAATAAAGGAGACGTTATTTACTCCCTAAACTTAGTCTTAAAAAAAAAGAAAAATCGAATCCAGAAAAGCAAAAAGTTTAAATTATACTCCCTCCGTCCCGCTAACAATGGGACGGAAGGGGGTGGCACGCATACCAATACAAACTCATAAAGTAGCAATTAAAGAGAAGTAAATCAATTTAAAGCAAACAAATTAAAGGCTAGTGGACTGCTTAATGTTCCGTGTTTCTAAAAGTATAATGGACAGGTCATTCCAAAAAGTAACTGCCCATTTTCCAAAAAGTTAAAACCCATGTGCGGACAAAGATGAAAAATGAAATATATCCCACCACACTTGGCGGCCAAACCAAAAATTGAAATACTGCAGTCCGCCATTGTGCACAACACTGCTTTCTATAAATAGAAACCAAAGCATTAAATTTTACAACAACTTTCTAAACACTCAGTCCTTACATATTAAAGGCAACATGGCCAGCACAAAAAAAAGAACTTGACGGATGATCAAAGACAAGGCATAGCAGACATGCTTCGTGACAAAAGGCATCAGTTGGGCGGTTCTTTGCACAAAGGTAGCATCAATGAGGCAGGAGTTGATTATGGAGTAAGCAGTTAACCATTAATCGAATCTGGTCAAAAGCAAGAAATCAAATCAGGTTAAAAAGAGAGGTTAATGTGAAATCAAAGGTTCCAGGCAAAAAAGGAAGGCCAGTGAAGATTATTGACAACACAACAGTCAGTGAAGTTCCTCTAGAACTGAGAACAAACATAAGGAGGCTTGCAAAAGCTCTAAAACTAGGAAAATCAACAGTTCATCGGGCCATCAAAAGAGGGCAGCTTAGAAGCCACAACAGTGCTATAAAGCCCAATCTAACTGAAGAAAATAAAAGGAAAAGGTTAATGTTTGTGTTGTCTCAATTTCAGCGTACAGTTTATTTGCAAGATCCAAAGTTTATTGATCATCATAACTACATTCATATTGATGAAAAATGTTTTTTTTTTGACAAAATCAAGTCAAAGATATTACCTGATCCAAGAAGAGATGGACCCACACAGAACTTGCAAATCAAAAAGTTTCATCACAAAGATAATGTTTATGGCTGCAGTTTCAAGACCCATATTTGGTTCAGATGGTGAACTATTATTTGATGGCAAGATAGGTATATTCCCTTTCACAACAAAAGAGGCAGCCAAGAGAGGAAGTAAGAATAGGCCTAAGGGAACTCTAGAGACAAAGGCAGTCACTTCCATCACCAAACAAGTCACAAGAGATTGTCTACTTTACAAGATTCTACCCGCAATCAAAGAGAAATGGCCCGAAGGTGCAAGTAAGACCATTTTTATTCAGCAAGATAATGTTAAACCTCACATTAATCCGGAAGATCCAGAATTTGTGAATGCTGCCACCAGTGATGGGTGGGACATTCATCTCCTATTCTAGCCTCCTAACAGTCCAGATCTAAGTATTTTAGATTTGGGGTTTTTAGGTCTATCCAATCACTACAACAAGAATTTAAAATGAAAACAGTGGATGACCTAATTAGTGTTGTGGAAAAAGCATTTGAAAACCTAGAAGCTGATAAGCTTAATGATGTTTGGATTACCCTACAATATTGCATGATTGAAATCATGAAGCATGAAGGCTGTAACAAGTATCGATTGCCACATATTGGAAAAGCAAAGCAAAGGAGGCAAGGAGAATTAATGCAAGAAGCCACAGTTACACAACAACTAATCCATCAGGTTGTAAGCTACCTCAACCAGACTATGATCACTGAAGGACACACCACAGAGGATAACAACTAGCTTTATGATCTATGACGGAGTTGTTTAAGCATAAACTGCCTCTATTTTTGACATTTTGAGGTTTAATCTTAAACAACATGCTTTTTTGTCTACCAATGATCTAGATGTAATTCTCTGAAACTATTCAGGTAGTATGAATATAAGATTATATTAAGCTTTTAAATGGTTTTACATAGTTCCAGAGAATTCAGAAAAGCACTCCCAGAAAACAAAGCTCTTAAGGGACAGAATGCTCAAAAAAATCAGAAATATATAGGGAATATCTAAAAATTCAGATGTTTTTTGCGAATATCTTAAAGAATCAGAGAATTCAGAAAATCACATTCACACAAAACAAAGCTCCCAGGGGACAGAATGCTCAAAACATTCAGATATTTGTAGGGAATACCTAAAAATTCAGATGTTTTTAGGGAATATCTCAAAAATTCAGATAATTCACAAAATCACATTCACAGAAAACAAATTAGTTTTTTTTTGGGTACCTTTCTTTTGGGGTAATATGAAGTTGGCTATAAACTCTTGAGTCCGCTTCTGGACTCCAACAGGGATAACAAGAGCTCAGATTCAAGCTTTAGTCTCCTGCTACAGCTCGAACAACAGCCCATGAGTCAGCATCTGATTTGGTTTCTTCTTCGTCAACCTTTGAATCAGACACATAACCCAGACGATCTTCTCTATCATCAATGATCATCTCTTCACTCTTAAGAGGGGTATTTGGGGTACCTTTCTTTTGGGGTAATATGAAGTTGGCTATAAATTCTTCAGTCCGCTTCTGGCTGTCTAGACTCCAACGAGGATAACAAGAGATCAGAATCAAGCTTTGGTCTCCTGCTACAGCTCGAACATCAGCCCAATATTCAGCATTTGATTTGGTTTCATCTTCTTCAACCTCGGACTCGGACACATAATTCAGACGATCGTCTCTGTCGAACAGCATCTGATTAAAAGATGTGGGATTTAGAAAATAAATTTGGATGATAAGGAAAGAAGTGGAGAATTTAAAGCAGAGATGAGATCTTTGAGGTCGGTTATGGAGAAAACCTGCGGAGCTATGGAGAAAATTAAATGGAAGAGTTGAGTGAGTAGAAAAGAGGTTGGTTCCAAAGATAAAGTAGTGGGGTAGTGTACTGGGTAGGTGGGTTTAATTAATGTCAAAACAATTAAGGGAAGGTATTAACATAAAGTAAAGCAGTCACTTTAGAGATAAAGTAGGAAAAAGGTTTCCAAATATAGTACGGGACAATCTTAGTGGGATGGACCGAAATGGTAAAATGGGACTATCAAAGCGGGACGAAGGAAGTAGATAATTAGATATTGGGGACATAATAAGTTAGTGAGGCTTCAATTAGGAATGTGAATATACATTACTAAAAGTGTGTGTTTTATACTTATGGCTTGTTTTGTTTGGAATTTTGGAGAGGAGGGGTGGGTTTTTACCAATATATATATTTATAAATGAATCTTTTGCTAAATCATGCTTTTCTTTAAAATTATCATCCTTAGCTTTCTTTCCACCCTTCTAAATGTAGGAATAACTTGATAAAGTAAATATCATACCCCCCCCCCCCCCCCCCTCTCCTCTGAAATCGCCCAACCAAATCAGGGATTAAAGAATAAAGATACAAAGTAATGTGAGTGCTGAGTGTGCTTTCTCACGTGAATGCAGACTAAAAGAAAAGTAGATGTGATATAATAAGATAGAGGAATTGTCACTTTCTATGTCTGCCAATTAAATTTGACATACTTTGCCAGTTTTTAATCATATATTTATCCATTTGAACTATAACTCCTTTCAATTATGTTGTATATTATCCTATCCAGGGTTTCGATCAGCTACGTTCCGGGATTCTCCAGCATCAGAAGTCATATATGCAGGGCCCACAGCAGTCCTTTCATCAACTACAGATGCTGTCACCTCAGCATCAGCATCAACTACTGCTTGCCCAGCAAAATCTGACGTCTTCACCCTCCACTGCAGGTGGTGATGCAGAAAGTAGAAGGCTCAGAATGCTCTTTAATAGCCGGAACATGTCTATTGGGAAGGACAGTCTCTCTAATCTGGTTGGTGATGTTCAGAATATGGGATCACCATTGCAGGCTGGTTGCTCTGTTTTACCTCGTGGAGGAGATCCAGATATGGTAATCAAGGTACCTGATTGCTTTATAGATAGCTCTTTCTTGGGTTTAAGTCCTCCCCGATAGTTTCTCGAGTATTATATTAAATTCTTTAATTTAGTCCCAGCATCCCATCATAATTTTGCACGAAGTATTGTTCCCCTGTGCTCCAAACCAAACCCTAGCCCGCCCCTGAAAGTCTGCCATCCCTTCCATCTATATCCCCTCACCCATTTTCCTACAAAGTTGCTTTGCTATGTTTCATGCCACAAAAATATGGTAAGAAGGCTTCGGCTCATGTGTGCACAAGTTGCAAGTAATAGCACAATCCATCCCACGTCCCTGAAGAGCATCCGCTGTAGGGAAGTATCCAGAGCAAAACTGCAAGAACAACTTTACTTTAGGTGGACAGGTGGTATTGCAGCAATGACATCTTCATCCATCCCAACCGAACCGCACCCTCTAACCCTCTATCAACATCGTATAAGCACTCTTTAGTGAATAATATCCTCTCTCTCCCCCACCCACAAAACTACATCATTCTCCCCTCGTAAGCTCAAGGGAATCCTTAAAATAAGGTTCAGTTCCCTCTCTTCAAAGATATCATCTAGCATATCCATGGTCAAATACGTGTCACACTCCTATTGCGTAAGCCTCTCATCGCCTTATTGCATATGCAATATTGCGTAAGCCTCAATCCAATATTGCGTACGCCACTCTCCCAACGCCATATGCAATGCCTTTTATGCCATAGTCCAGTATTTAGCTGAGGCGTGCCATGAGGTGCAATTGCATTGCGCAAATACAAACAATGCATTTACTCACAATCAAAGCTTCGTCCACATTATATCTACGAGATTGCCACATAAGCGTACGTAATGATTTTTGGTAACTTTGTAAGTTATTTTAAATAATAATTTAGCAGAACAGTAGTACACAGGCTGAATTGAACAATTTTAGAGTATATGGACTAAACTGAACATTTGGCTATATTCCAGAGGACATAGTATTACTTTCTAAATGGGTTTCGTACCTGCAACAGTTTCTTTCTCAATTTTCCTTAACTTTTTAATGCATAATTGCATAGATGAAGTTGGCACAAATGCAACAGCAACAACAACATTCACAAAATCCCCAGCAGCACTTACTTTCTGGTCAGCAACCACAAAGTTCAAACCACAGTCTTCAACAAGATAAACTCTTGGGATCCGGAAATGTTCCCGGGGATGGAAGCATTTCTAACTCATTTCGGGCTAATGAACAGGTTTGCATTTTCGGGTTAATTGGACATATGCATGCTGTCTATATCATTAATTTGCTTGCCCAATTTATTTAGCATTAACTGTAGGATTCATCGAATACGAGAAATAAAAGAGCTAATCAAGCTTGGTTGTGGTTTCCCTCCCATCAGACACTCCCTCCTATCTGATATAATCTTCCTATTTTGACTTGGCAATCTTATAAAAAAGTGTGGTTGAAAAAGAACGGATGTGGTTGTGAGCTTCTGATATGGGTTGACATAAGTGAAACTGAATATCAACCACACACATATCTTTGCAAGAAGAAAACACTAAACTTATTTTTGTTCAGGTAAAAAAAGGAAATCAGGAAGGTTATTTCAAGACGGAGGGAGTATTTTCCGAGAAGCATGACCAATCATCTTGGCCTTCGTTTACCTAGTTTTGCAAGTAACCTTCAGGATTGGTTTCTTGTTTCACGCCGATAAAAGTACTATAACTTGTTTTCTTAAATCAGATTCCTTAATGTGTCCGTCTGGAACTCGAAAAATGTTAGGGAAAGAAAATGTGGAGGAAAGTTGAGGGAAAGTTTGTAAAGAGAAACACAATGATTCAATTTTAGATATTTATAAGTTGTATAAGCAATAAACCAAATATATGTAACATTTTAAGTACTCCCTCGCATAAAACTTGGTCAAAGTTGTCTTACACGTGGAATAATAAACTTTGTGGTTGAAATTTGTGCAGTCAGTGCAAATGAGAGAGAAATAACTTTAACAACATATTTGTTACTTTTAATGAAAAGGACAATGTTTTTTGGGATGGTTAAATAAGGAAAGTTTGTATAGTTTTGTGGGACAAAGGGAGTATATGTCAAACTTGATTTCCCTTCACATTTTCCAAGTTCAAACCAAACATAATAACTATTTTACAAAGCTTTATTCTTTTCTCTACCATTTTCCGTGTTT